CATTGGAGATTGCTTCATCTCTTATAATATTTCTCACTTTGGTTAAAACTTTATTCCATGATCACCAATATAATCTTGGTTATGGTTTTCACAATGTAATTGTAAATTTGAAAGCGACTAAGATGTTACATTGTTTCTCTTCTCTTTTAATATTTATTATCTAAACTGCATGAAATTGCAAAAGAATGCATATGTAGGAGGGTTGCTTCAAATTTACATACTAGAATCGATACCACTAAAGAGGTAGACGGTTGTTAACCGGTGGTAAGAAGATCTAACTACATTTTTAATTATTTTTATTCATGCTTCGTAAAATCTATTTTTGTATTCCTGTTCACTTTAGTTTTTCATGTACAAAATATGAAAGGGGGTTCTTGATGTACCAACAAAGTCAAATGTAGTTTTTTCAAAAAATGTATTTGAAAATCAATATCATATTTACTAATCGATATATTAAAACTCTTGACGAGATTAATATATAGAGGAATATTTTATGTGACTTTATTATTAATTTCAAAGTTGAAAGTTCATATCTAAAACTTTAGATGTTTTTTTGTGTAAAATAAATAGTGTAATACAAAGTCTATCTGGTCAAAATTATTTATCAATAGTTCATTCAAGAGAGATTTCGTATATGCCCTTATTAAACATAAAATATCATATTTACCCGACCTAAATCATAAATATCATATTTATCCTTTATAAATTTCACACCCCAACCAGAACGGCGGAAACGTTCGGGGGTGGAGGACGTCATGTACAGTATCACAACAATTATATAATAGTAATCAAAGCAACAACAACCATTGCATTGATAACATAGTATTTACATTGTGTTCAAAACATTACTTGTTTAACATTAAAACTATAGTAAAAGATAAGACGTAATGCTACCATGCTCCGTCTTCGCAACACCTGAGAGGGTACCTGTCTACTAATTTTCCTGAGAATACAAGTGGTTTGCAAAAGTGTTAACATTAAAGTTGGTGAGTTCATAAGTATTTTTGATATAGAAAGTATATTCTTTGTTCTTTGAAAATGTTAATGTGTTCTCCCAGAAAATCCAATATTTTCTTTGTAAATAAGTTATAGTCTTAGTATTTTTCAGACCAGAAGGTATCAGTTTCTTATGTTTATAATCTGTGATTCGAGGTTCTGATTCAGGTAATTGGTATGACTCGTACTGTTACTTCCTATGATTGCTTAGTGTATACAAATTATATATAAGTAAGATTGAAAGGACGGTCGATTGGGTGATTCTGCCCTAAGCCCACAACCAAACAAGGAACAGGAAGTAAGGCGGAATTCACACATTCCACTGCCTATCAGATCTTTATACATATATAACTCTGAAGTATAAGCTAAGGAACCATAGAATTAACAATTAAGGGTCCTTTATGTTATACTAGTTAGTAAATAAGTGTTGAGTCTTTTGTAAATATGTTCCTAGTTGCACTCGCTCTATTGTAAAGCATTGTTTTCGATAAGTAATCGTATTTGTTTTCAGAAAGATGAATTGTAAACTGTTTACTTGTAAAATAATGATGTTGACCCTGGAAAATCCTATATTTTTCATAAAAACCGAGTTGTAGTCTTAAACGTTCCAAGACCGAAAGGTACAAGTATAAATGTCATACTTAATTTGATGATACCTAGTTTTATTCATAAGTAAAACTAGCTGAAAATATGTTTGCTCTGTAAATTTATATGCGATGTTAATACCCTTTAAGACTGTTTAAGAAGTATATTACTACGTAAATGAGCCGTTTTTTTCTCCATGTGAGTTCTTATAACCATATTTGATGACCCAGGATGGCCTGAAACGACGTTCTTCAGGCGTCAGAATCGTTATGACATTTGTCATCCCAGGCCTGCCGGCCTAACTGTAGCTAACAGTTAAGGTGCAGGATTGTCAGTCCCATATAGATCTATACACAAATTCACGCTCTCCCTACAAGAGACTCTGGTTATAAGTCGGGACTTGGTTGGTACTTAGATAAGTACGTGAAGGCGTCTCACAAATTGCTTCAACAAGTTTACGAGTATTAAGTGAAAAACCTTTTAGTCAATAACATGTAACTTTGTAAATAGACCGTTTGTTCCATAAACTATACATATTATAGTTTATAAGTTTGTTTCCGTGTTATAATATGAGCTTTGTAAAATAGTTCATTTGTTCCATAAACTATACCTATTATAGTTTATAAGTTTGTAAGTTTAACACTACCGATGTTTGGCGTATTTAATAAATTTCACGTTTAAATGCATATTAACGGTAAGAAAACATAATAAGAAATTTATATTTTTAAACACAAGATTTCTTGTGTTTTACTTGTATCCCCCCCCCTAAAAACATTGAAAAAGCTTGGAAAAATACGGGGGTATGAACTCACCTCGAATGTGTGTGCTAGTTCGGACGCAAAGTGATTGTGAAGGATCCCCGGGTTAGAATACGTGAAAGTAACCGTGTCCTAAAATAATTATATCCGACGACGTATTTAAATTAATAAGATATAATAATAAATTAAATAGTGATTTAAATAATAATTAAAGTGTTAGAAAACACTTTAATTATGTAAGAAATACTTACAAATAGCCTTAGGAATTATTTGGAATATTGCTAGGCGTTTTCGGTGTGCATGGGGGAGTTTTCGGTTGGAGGCTTGAAGATTTGAAGATTTTTATGAATGTTCTTGGTGTTCTTGGTGGAAATAAGAAGATCTGGGTTGGAATCTCTTGAAGATATGAGGTTTACGGATGATACTTGAGAGCAAAAGTGAGGTGTTTGCGGTCTAAAATGTGAGAAATGAACTTGGTTTGCGGCTACACACACACACACACACATATATATATATATATATATATATATATATATATATATATATATATATATATATAGGATTGAGTTTACTGTCTTAATGGGCCTTGGTTATGAGTTTTCGGTCCTTTAAGAAGTGATTTCGGCCTATGTAAACCGAAAACCCAAAGTGCCTTCACTATACAATCGAAAACCACCTTTTGATCTTATTCTAAAACCGAAAACCTATTGTTTTTGATTCTTGGACGGAAAACTAAATGGTTCTAGAATCCTAGGACTGAAATCTATATATTTCTAGGATCTTTGGATTGTAAACCCTTTTATAGAGTATTACTTTATAATTTAAACCTTAACCTTTTGTCAAATGTTGATTTATGCTAACCTAAATTAACTTAGGTTTAAGTCTAGGCTTAGTCACAAGCTTATGAACATGTCCTAATGGCTATGTATGATACAATGCAGCAGAGGTTGCAATGTGGTTCCACTTGTACTAGGTTAGTGTTTAGACTTTGCTAAGTTTAAATTTTCCCAGTTGTGACAATAAACTTTATAAATTTCAAATTTGCCGAAATTCATTTTCTAATATTTTATAATCATTATAATGATTAATAAAATTATATTGACCATATCACCCTTGTTTCCAAATTATTTCGATACTCTTGATCCAATATCACAAACACGATGCTACCTCTGCCATCTTAGCCCCTGAATCGTGTCCCCCATCTCTTACTGTTAGAGTTTCATTGCAAGAAGTGAAAACGCCAAAATAAATAACATCACTTCAAATGGTTTAAGTCTTGAGTTGGATTAAAGAAATCACACCTGCTATTCCGATCAGAGGGATATATCTAGATGCATGCTTAACACAACATGCCAATAGACCCTGTTCATCAAAACTTCTCTGGAAACTATCGATTCTGAACGGGGGCATTAAAAAACAAGCCGACCGTTTATTTGGAATCCATTCTTTTACCCTTGTGTTGTGAATCAAAGGGATAGGAATGAGAACACACACAGACCCGTGAGTAAATGTTGTTGTTCATCATCAAGTTTTTCTGACCTGGATCGAAGGTTGGGGCAGCTATTGGTGCAAGGGTGGGTCTCTCGACCTTACAGGAGTTTTGGGTGTTGGCTATGATTTACAGAGAGAATAAAGACACCTGGACTTGAGTTAGAAAAGGGAAATGACTGTACTTTTTTTTGGAGGCTGCTATTTACACAACAAATAAACACTTTTGTTTTTGGGAAACAAGACTGGAACTTGGGTAAGAGGAGAAAAAACCAAAAGTAGGGATAATATGGTAAATTTAATTCTTTTTACAATTAGAATGATTTTAAAATATAAACAATAATTATAAAATATAAAAAAAAATTAAAAAACAAAATTTGGGCATATATGATATTTTAAAAGTTTATAAAGGGTAAATATGATATTTAGAAAATATGGTGGATAAATATGATATTTTGATGTTTAATAAGGGTATATACGAAATTCTTCCATTCATTGGAAAAAACTTATTTATTTTTTTATCCTAAAAATATTACTGCATAATAGAAAGAAAATATTAAATAATATTTTAATTATATTAATGTTATAAAAGCTTATAATATTTATTAGATTGTATAAAAATAAAAAGCTAAAGTTTTAAAAGGGTCCGACTATATTAGATAGTATTAAAATACTAATTAATGATTTTTTTATTGGTTGTTAATTCGATTAATGCCCAAAAAGACGAATAAAATGTTAAATTTCAACATATTAAAATTTTTTACCTACGGTTATTTTAATCACTTAATGACACTCTTGCGCAACCCGCGAGGTTTTGCTTAGTAAATCTTATAAAAGAGACCATCCAAGTGAATATGGTTTAAGATATGACATGCTTGCAATATATTTTATTTGAAACCACGACAACTTTTCAACTTTCAACCGATTAATAAAAATCATTCAAGAGTTTTTTACTTATATATTATAACTAATTATTTAAGTAAATGAATTTTTATGTTTCTAAAATTAATCTCATTTATTAATGATCTTTTATTTTCCTTTCATATATATATATATATATATATATATATATATATATATATATGAAATGAATTATCTATGAAATAACAATAAAAACGTCTTTTCCATAATATTGTTTTTATTATAAAATAAATTTAATAACTCCACTAGTTGTCACAGCCTTAAGTTCCCCGACGACGATTCATCAGTTGTCTGATGTTGGGACGGGCTCACTATCATTCCCTCTGCTATATCCTTCGTCGGAGTTGACATATCAAGAATATCATCCATGAACTTCATCAAGTCTGCCGCTTCCGCTGCCGCACTCTTTATCAAGGCAGGTTCTGGGGACTCCGACAGTCGATAAGATCTAGCAAGCTCAGGGAAATTCAACACTGCGTCACTACCCTTGAGTGCCAAAGACGCTACGTCATAAGCTGCTGCAGCCATCTCCGCCGTCGGATATGTTCCAAGCCATATAAGAGAGGGTTTACGTGGTTCATCAATCTCCGCCGCCCACATCTTATTCCAACCACGTACCCCATGAAAGGTATGGTATTTTTTGGTGGTGCTTCGGGAGCTTCCAGCAGAGGCAGAGGTGTTCATAGTGAAAGTAAGTCGAGTTTCTCTGATTGAGGTTAATATTATATCGTGTTCGTAGTTCTTGAATCTTACAACCAGGTATAAACATACACACCCCCCTTATGCATATGTATATATAAGTACAAAGTAATTTGTGAAAAGGGTGATGGAAGCATGAGAAATTATGTGTGATCAATGCACATGTATGTGAATATATAAACATTAATTATAAAATCTTTGATGCATGTTAATTTAATAATTAATAATCAAGTTTTGCATCCGATAAATAAATCTTTGTTAAACATATGAGACCTTGTGATGTAGAATGAAAGAAAAAAAACACAAAAGGTATATAAATATTGGGAGAAAAAACTCCTAACATCATTCAATAATGTCCTAGAAACTTAGAAGAAATTTTTGGAACAATCAAAGTTATAAGAAAGTATATGTAAGGATAGTTCTATATTTCCATAGTGATAGTGTAGTCGATAATTTAAAATCAAACAAACTAATTGTTATTATATTAAATATCATGCAAATGATATGAAATCACCACATTGGCTAAAAAGTAATCTATAACCAAAAATCATATGCAAACACCAAAAACAATTCTATTTATTGTTCTTGAAATTCTTAATTAATTACTTGTTATACGATAAATATGGTTCCGGATGATGAATGATAACCAACCGAAATATATATCAAATAAATTAAACTTTTACTATTTTTGTGATCGATCGACTTCAAAATCATTAACCTATGATGTTAAGGACTATTTTTAGTTCCAGTGGACATCAATTATCAATATTGAAATTTATCACATACCTAGTAGAATTTTTTTTTTTTGAAATGACAAATCTAACCTACTCCTAAACTACTCATTAAATTCACCTATGTCCACGATGAGACTTAATCATCCACCTCAAGAAGTGAAGACAACAACGGATACCGCTAGACTAGAAGCAATTTGATAGTAGAAAATTAATCACAATCACAAAATAAAGTCTTTAGTTTCGATGGTGCGTTGGTTATATAGTATTAATCACAATCACAAAATAAAGTCTTTAATCACAATCACAAAATGAATGTATATAGAAAAAATATGTTTTTTTTTGTACAAAACCCTCAAATCAACTTGTTCACTGATGTGAGTTAGCATTTGATTAAGAACACGATTAAGTCAATAAAAGCTGTAAATGGACACACGATCTAAATAAGATATGTTTGGCTCAATAAACGTCTAAATAGTAAAAGAGAGTTTGAGTACAAATACAAAGACTCCAAGTTCGATACTTATACTCTAAGTACTTACCGTATTTATAGGGTACAACAGACGCACAAAAAATAACAACGACTAAACATTACAGTGTCGAAACTAACATGCCTTGTTAATAGATAGAGTGTTGAAACCAGACTACTTTCGCCATTTTACATACACAAAGTACATTCGACTCCTCACTATAATCATTCACCGTTGAAACTTGGTAGCTGTTCGACATACACCGTTTCTTCCAGAACACTATTGATTAATGCACATTTGACATCCATCTGATAGACATCGAAATCCTTGTGAGCTGCATAAGTAAGAAAAATTCGTACCGCCTCGAGTCTTGCGACAGGGGCAAAGGTTTCCTCATAATCAAGACCTTCTTGTTGAGAATAACCTTTTACGACTAGTCTCTCTTTGTTTCTAATAATATTGCATTCTTTGTCAGTTTTGCTCTAAAAAATACATTTTAGACCAATTAACGAAACATCCTCAGGTTTAGGAACTAATCTCCAAACCTTGTTTTGTTCAAATTTAGCAAGTTCACAATGCATTGCAACGACCCAATCAAAATGTTCTAATGCAATATTGACTCTTTTTGGTTCTAATTTTGAAATGAAAACATTAAACATATATAATTCTTGATGAACATTCAACACCTCATTTTTGGCTCGAGTTAAGACACCGGAATTCGGATCACCAAGAATCTGTTCTTTCAGATGATTTCTTGTCCATTTGTCCATCGGTGGATATGTAGGATCAAAGTCTAAAGGTGCATCTTCAAAGATGTCTTCAGCATCCAAAGCTTCTCCTGTAATTGAGATATTATCAGTTACATCATGAAAATCATTATTTTGATCATTACCGTTATTATGATTCGATCCGCTTGGCTCCCCCTCGACCAATGGATTTGAGATGTGATGCTCCCCCTCGACATTAGCATGGTTAGGCACATGCTCCCCCTCGACATGAGCTTGAGTTGTCATATGCTCCCCCTCAACATACGAATCACGTCTTTCGTTTTGAGACGTAAAAATCAAATGCTCCCCCTCCACTTGATCATTAGTCGAAATTTGTACTCTTTTGACATTTACTCTTGTAGTCGATGAAGAATGTGCTTCATTTTCTTCATTTGTGATAGTCGAATTATCAGAGTGTTTTGACGTCTCAGGAATTTGATTATCATCAACATTGATCTCTGCATCAATTACCCTATCAGGAATACCAAAAATTAAATCAAGATCAATATCAAAAGTATCAATTTGTTCAGATTCAACATTTGGATCAACAATAATTGGTTTTTGAATGAATGATTGTTCAACTCTTTTGACATAATGATCGTCAAATGTGAGATTGGATGTTTCTTCTAGCTTCCTTGCTCACTTGTTTAACACCATATAAGCTACATAATTTATAGAATATCCCAAGAAAATTCCCTCATCAACTTTCGACTGAAATTTGGGAAGATTATCCTTGAGATTCATGATGAAACATCTGCATCCAAAAACATGAAAAAATTTAACATTCGGTTTCCTTTTGTTTATAATCTCATAAGGTGTTATGTTAAAACAACGATGAATGAAAGAACGATTTTGCGTAAAACAAGAAGTCGAAACCGCCTCTGCCCAAAAGTATTTTGGCAAATTCACATAAGTGAGCATCATTCTTGCCGCTTCACATAAGGAAAGATTCCTCCTTTCGTCAACACCATTTTGTTACGGTGTGTATGGGGACGAAAAATTATGAGATATGCCCAGTTCAGTAAGAAATGAATCAAGAATTAGATTTATGAACTCCGTTCCATTATCACTCTTTATCTTCCGAACTTTCCTTTTTAAGCTCAATTCAATGTTCTTGTTTAAATCAATCATCACTTGAACAGTTTCAGATTTCTGTCGAAGAAAGAAAACCCAAGTAAACCTTGAAAAATCATCAACAATAATTAGTATGTCCTTCTTCCCGTTGAGAGTCTAAACAGTCGAAGGTCTACACAAGTCAATGTGAAGAAGTTCTAAAGTTTCAATGAGTTTTGAATCGATTACGACCGGATGACCTTGACGATGTTGTTTTCCCTATTCACATGAAGCACACAACAAATCATTGTCGAATTTCAAAACAGGTAAACTACGAACAAGATCATTAAGAACAAGTTTGTTTAGATTTTTGAAGTTGAGATGAGAAATACATCGATGCGATAACCAACTGAGATCCAAAGATGCTTTCGACAGCAGACACACTGAGTGAATGCCCACAATTTGTTTCATGTCAAGAGTGAACATGTCTCCCTTTTGTTTCGACTTTAGTAGAATCTCCTTCGTTTCCTTGTTGGAGATAATACTTCCTTCCTCATCAAAAAGAACTTGATTACCTGTTCCAACAACTAGTTACGAAACACAAATCAAATTGTGCTTTAAACCTTCTACAAAAGCTACTCGATTCATGGTGTCTTTGACTTTACATTTTTGGTTGTTTCCAAACTTGACAACTCTATCATTTTCCAACTTTTGAAAATCTCTCAAATTTTATTTCCTCCCATTCATGTGACGCGAACATCCACTATCGATATACCAATTTTCATCATATTTCTCGTCACATAGTTCCTGCGATCAGTTAGAAAAATTTAGGTCCCCAAGACCTTTTGGGTCCTTGGACATTAGTTTGAAACACATTGTGCAATGAAGAACCTAAGACCCAATTAAGAACTTTAGATTTGAAACTGTCAATTAAGTTAATTTTACTAGCTTAAGGCATCGAAATATAATCATGCAATGGGGAAGGTTTAACATTGATTTTCACTTTCTCATCCTTTTTCTGAGAAGCATCAATTTTCTTCTTTGGAATTTCATTCCACTTTCGCACCATTGGTGTAGAGTCTTGAGATGAAGTACTTCCATTCATCGAATCATTCAAGTAATTCTCGTAAGCATTTTGTATTTGCTCCTGAGAATACTTTCGTGATTGATATTGGTTTCCTTTTCCTTCAAGCCAATGGTTGATGTTTTTAACATCACTTCTACCTTTTGTATATGAAGCTTTCATCTTCTGTGTCAAATCAGGATTTGGAAAATGTGGGTTTTTAGGTTTAAAAGGCTCACTATTCTTATCTTTAACTTCCAAAATTTCAAATTGTCTTTTGTGAAATGATCTTTGTGAATGATTTTGAAAGCGATTTTGATATCGGTTTTGATAACTAACACCATTTTGTTGAAAAACGTTTCGATTTTCATCAAAACTTCTTTGTCCGTGACTTTGAGCAAACTTCCCTTGTGCATGACTTTGACCAAAACTCCTTTAATCATGATTTTAAGCAAACTTCCCTTGTCTATTACTTTGTCCAAAACTCATCTTATCATGATTTAGAGCAAAACTCCTTTGTCCATGATTTTGAACATTTCTTTGTAAACTATTTGGTCGAAAGTGATTTTCGACATACTTTCAACACCTTTGAAAATCATTTTGTTTTTGAAATTGTTTGTTTTGAAAATTCTTTGCATTTTGTGAAAAAGTCTTGGCTGTTTCAGAGGATTTTTGTTTAAAAACCTTTTGTTTGTGAAAAGCTTTTTCATTTTTCCAATAATCTTTATTTTGTGCTTTTGATTTCGAAATTCTTTCATCACAAGCCAAATTTTCTACTCTTCCTTTGAAAGTTTGTGTTTTCACCTTTTGATGTTTTGGATCATTAGGTTAAGAATCAACACCTTTTTCTTTGTTTTAATTATGAACAACTGATTTTTTTGTTTTTACAGCCCAAACACAT